TTCCTCCCCCCCCCCCCAAAGTAAGTTTGTAGCTACTGGACCCTAATGAATCTAGGAAATTATAGATGTACTTATAGATGCACCTCCTCAACCCAAAGCCTCTTCTATTTCAGAACTAGGAGGATGTAGGGAGCAGGCATTTTCCTCTTAGTCCTGTGAAACTCAGCAACTTCATAAAAATTTCCCCAAAATATTTAAACAAGAAATCATGGTGGGAATGATTAGTCTTACCATTTAGGGGCAATTTATATTTCTACTCTACAAGTTTAACTTCTTTCCTTGGATCATGGTATGCTACTAAGATACTTAAAAGGTCATTTACAAAAATCAGCCCAGCTTCAAAGAATGTCCTGATTACAGCCAAGTTATGTAAAAGTAGAAAAGAGTTTTCAAGTCCATTAGCATGTAAAATGTGCCACAAAATGGGGGATAGAGTTTAATTAAATATGTACTTTTAGGCTCAGATCCTAAATATGTACTTTTTGGCTCAAATCAGTGTAGCAAGTGCTTTCTAAATGCAATCCCCTCACGTGTACAAAATGCCAATTCCCATAGACAGTATTGTTTTTATACCTTTCCCCAGCAAGGCTGTATTTAGACATTTTAATCATGGTTAGATTATCCCAAGTCAACAGTAGATCCTTATAAAAATGAGTTGATATAATTTCATCCTTTTCCCTTTTTAGTTAGATTTTACAAATATAACTGTCAGCTAGTTACCATGGTAAGGCTATGAGTCAGTCCTCTTCTTAGTAACATAAATTTCTTATTATAGTTTTCAGACTATCAATCTACCACGTGTTCTTATGTTATCAGCATCTTTTTTTACTTTATGCAATGACAGATTTTATATCTTGCATGGCCTACTGTAATTTGGTGTTGAGGACAATTGCTAGCAAGGACAGGTGCTAAACAATGATAATTATATGGGACGATGTAGGACAAATCCTTGTAATATAATGTGTGTGAACAGGTACATTTGTATGTATGTAAGGAGGAACTCATGTATAAGGTACATGAAAATAGTATGATTAATTTGGATGTAAGGGTCATATTTACTGTTACATTCTTAGTGTCTACTACTGTACTTGGAACATAGAGAATATTTAAATAATACCGGCTGAATGCATGAGAGGAAACTGGTGCTATGTGTTCCCATTGGCAAAACCAGGATTCTACTGCTGGATACCAGAGGTCTGTCTATAATAATCTGTTATGCATTTTTTAAATAAATGTACATGGGCTTATGCTAGAAGTTTGGTGAAAGGCAAGGAAACTGAATATACAGAATTGGGACTTGCGTAGCTGCCAGTTTAGTTGGGGGAGACAGGATACACACAAATGAAAACTTCGCCGCTATTCTGGGGGAAGAAGGAGGACATGACAAATACCATTTTTCTATCAGATGTAACCAGTATATGGGTTCATAGGGAAAAAAGAGGCTGCTGTGGATCAAAGTCATTAAGGTAAATTAGGTAACCAGACAGGAATTAAGTTACATCTGTGGAAACAAAAGATAAAGGGGAAAGAAAGGAAATAAGAGTTCCAGGAGGAGTGAGGAGGGAGTACAAAGGGAATCGATGATTGAAGACTTAAAATTTAGGAAGCAGTCATCAGACTTTAGAAAAGAAAGATGATGGTAGAAACAGTCACAGACATAGGTAAGCCTGTATGTGCTGTATAAGTTACTTCTCCTACTTAGCTCCTCCTTGGGAAAAACATGGATGCTGAAACGTTGACACCTTGTATAAGTTGCAAATTCAGAAAATGAGGCTGGTGAGCAGCAAACAGATACGTCAAAGCAGGAGGGAAGGACTGGCTAGGAAAGGAGCAGGCAGGGAGAGGCCTGGGGAAAACCTCATACAGATTCTGCTGCAAAAGGGCTGTTGATTTTAACAGAGGTGTGACATTCCCCCATTTGTTTATGACCCGAGGAACTTCTGTAACTTCTGTTTGATTGTTTCCATTTCTATTTATTATATATACTTCAGGGTGCCAAGTGCCGAATCCGTGTGTTCAATTACTCTGCAAACTAGAATGCAATAAATGCTTTATGAGAAAGTTTGGAATTTTATCCTGAACATGTAGAAAATATTTTCACATATCTAAAAAAAATCAAGAATTGGTATTAAGAGCCCAAACGACGATCAAGAATTGACAGATATTTCAAAGCAAAAAGAGAAGGAATTGCTATAAGTAATCTAGTAAAGTAAGACAACCATAATCAAGAAATTGTCTGTGTATAGTGTTTACCTATAAGAGTATGTAGAACAGATGGAGCAAAAATTACTTTTTAAGTCTCAAGCCTTCTACAGCTTTCTTTTATGGCTTTGCTCCCTTCAATAAATATTTTACTCTGAAAGTTACTTATATGGAGCTTTTAAGTTCACATTCATTAGTGGGATATTGATTAAATGAAAAATTAGCTCCTGAGAATGTTTCCTAAATAAAGCATATCTGTGCACGGATATACTATGATGTTTCAGCCAACATTAATTATACCTTCTTGATGTCTACTGTCTTGTTCTTAAAAGCTAATAAGACCTGTGCTACATCATAGTTAATAGGAGCGTGGTGCTTGTTGCTTTGGCAACAGGATGTATAAATGCAGGTCAGAATGTGCTTCAAGAAAAACAAAAGCTAGAATATGATACCAAGCAGAAACTAAGCAGGTCTAACAGATTTTCCCACATTAATAAACTCTGTTTCTTCAGGTGGTCAATCTTTTTAGTATACTTAAGTTCATAATGAAATGAATCAGGTTGTGGAGATCAAATAACTTTCAGAAAGGCAGAAAATTGTCATATGACATTAGTAGCAAATAAATGGTATTTAACAACATGTAGATCAGTAATTGATGACACCATTTTATGGTTTGCTTCATGTGCATAGTTAATCAACATCTCTATGTGACAAATCAGAATTGTCTTTTTAAAAATTCTGTCTCAGGAAATTTGATTAGTTTGTCTGAATTGGCAATATGTTCTTGTTTTCTGGAAAGTTACACATAATACTTGGAATTAAACTGGAAGACAATCGTCTATGATTAAACCCCGATTTTGTCATGAATGTCTAAGGAGTTTTTCCTCCCAGATATATTTTGGAGGATTGTGTATAATTTGCTCATGAATGTGTTTTACAATCTCTCCCCAAATTATTCTTATTTAAAATTTGATTAACTTTTCATTCAGTTAAAGGCTTTGGGGATTATATTTGATTATAATACAGAGAGGAAATGTTTGCTTGGAATGTACAGAGGGAAGTTCAGCTGAATGAAAATCTTTCCATGTGGCCAAATAACCCAGGGAATCCAAAAGTCTAACTTCGTAAGAACCAGAATTAATTTGTACCAGAATCAATTTGGACCAGGGCTTGAAAGATGGGAATAAGACGTCCCACTTGACGCAGACAGGTATAAAGAAAGAAAGATTTTAAAATGTTCAGTAATCTTGTTATCCTGAAGTGACTTTCTTCCTGTTTGATAATTCCTTTAATTCTTAATGCTATCTACTTAGTGTCCCAAATCTGTCTGAAATCTGCTCAGTGTCCTAAGACTTTTACAGCCATTGAAGATCTTTTACTTTTGACCTATTTCAATATTCAGAATATCTAGTCTATCTAACTAGTGATAGCATTTGATAAGTACAAGAAAAAGAATAGCTACATATTTTGTTATTTAAACAACAACAAGCCAAGAAAACATGACACTCATAAAGGGCTATATGGACACAACTACTTAAAGCTCATAAGACTTCCTAAATTTGTCTTTTTTTTAACTAAAAAATCAATAGATATTTTTTGGAGAGGAAGCAGAAGTTTAACAATTTAAATAATCTTCAGATCTACAATAATCAAGAGAATCCTGGAGCAAAATAATCTCAAATGGAAATTTTAAAAAATTCTGACTAGCTTCAAATACTTTTATGAGAAGTGCTGGCATTAGCCAGCGGCAGGTGTCAGCCGTAGCATTTTATTTAAGGACAGCTATTAATTATTTCTACCAGCAATGTGTATACTGCATGCCTGCATTATGTTCCCTGTGAATTTAGGGTTCAGTGATATGTGCAATGGGACCTTAATAGTAAGGAAAGGTAACAAGAGCTGTGACGTAGCTTAACAAGGAGCACTGATGAGCACTGGGGGAGGTATGGAAATGATTAGAAAGCTAGATTGTTGTCCAAACACTGCCCCATCCGCCTTCGTGCCTGTATGCAGCACAGCAAGAAGTTTGCACATGCCTGGTTTCCACGGCATGGAGACCAGGATTCAGAAGTACATGAATGTACTGAGTGCATCAGCCCCTCTTCGTAAATACTGACACGCAATGGGCTGAAGTGTTTGTTTTGCACAGAAAGTAACAGACAATGCTTCATCATTCTTCAGTCGGCATGGGTAAGGAGGTGAATAGACTGTATGAAACAGTTTGCTAATGAACTGGTCCTCTACATGATTTAAACTGCTTGTTGACAATATCAGGCAAAAAAAAAAAAAGATCTCTTCACAATCAACACAACAAATTGCCTAATTAATCACTAAATGCTGATGCTCAAGTGAAATGATCTGCTTCAGGAATAACGGAATTATAGAAATGAATTCAGGAATTAGTGGAAGAGTGATATAATCTAACTGGGTATTCTAAGATTGCAGATTTTATTTTAAACACACACACACACACACACACACACACACACCACCACCACACACAAAAGAATGCCAGGGAAAATATAAATGTTAAATCTTCTTTCACTGCCTATAAATAGTACTCTTACCGATTCATTCATAGGACACATGTGTAATGGATGCATACAGATCTCGTTTTGCAGTAAGTGTCTATACGTCCACACTTAAGTTCAGTCCTAAGGGCATCCGATTTTCTGATGCAGTCACACACAGAAATCGGATCGGTTTCGCTGCGAATCAGGCTGCCTCTGAGCCATGTAAGACACATAAGAAGCCAAGACAGACAAAAGGCAGCTCCGTGGACACACAGAGCATCTTACCATAAACTGCACATTGTCAAATCCATTAGCCATCAGGTGGTTCTCGTACTGAGGTAGCCCAATGCTTTCCAACCATTGTCCCACTGATTGCACAGGGCATCTAGGTCCTGTAAGAGGATGAAGAGGGAAGCGTTTAAGCAGGGAGTAGCCATCCACGGGGTAATAGCGGTAGTCCTGGGCTGAGAGGTGGCATTGCCACATCATGCTCCGGGGAAAGTTGCTATCAAAGGAGCCCGCCAGCTTGACAGATTAATGTTCTCAGCGAGACAGCAAAGTCAGAAGTGAAACATAGTTTGCCAGGCAGGCTGTGGAGAATGACTTGATCCTAGCTCCACATTTCTTACATATTAATCTTTACTACCGACCAGTACGTCAGACAGCCCCCAAAACCAGGCAGCAGAAGAAGGCATATCAAGCTGTCAGCTTAGGCTGGTCTGCCGGTTCTATGTGATTGCTGGAGTACTCCACCACGAGCCGTGCACGGCCAGCAGCCAGAATTCTTTTTATCAAGTACTCCTACACTCATCAGTATGCAGCTCCATGCGCCTCGCTCCCCCTCGCGCGCTCCCCTTCATTACCCAGCCCAGGCTACACCTCGCATTTTCAATAATAGCCATCAGATAAGGCAGGGTTGTTTGTTTTTTTTTTTTTTTTTTGTCTGCAAGCTGTAAGCCTGCTGCTGCTGCTTCCTCCTACACGCCCATCCAAGCGTCAATCTTGAATGATGAGAGCAGTCAAAACAAATGCAGAAAATAGCAAGACTCAAAAGCAAACCAAAGTGCTTAAATCTGAATTGAATCTTCATACTGGTTATACATTACCGAGGTATTTGTTGTGGATTTTTATGGTTCAAAAGACACCAGGAAATGCAAATCCTGAACTATAGCTTAGAACACAGCTCACTACAGGTTCCTTTCCCCACCCCCATTCTCCTTTTCCTTTCTTTTCTTTAAAAAAAATTGCAACACAGATTAATGTTTCTGATCTAAAGCTTCACAGCATTGGGAGAATTATTATTCTTTTTCTTTACTGTGCTAGATCAAAGTAAATCTCTCAGATTTTTTTTCTTTTTAAAATACTGCAATATACAGAAACTGCATTGTAATCTTAAAGTCAAGATAATTCATTCCTTAGTTGCCAGGGTTTCTTCCAAACAAAAATATTATTAGGCACAAGAAATTCCTTTCTCCTGGTATTTATAACCGAATCTACCAGGGTTACCATTCTAAAATAGCTATAAAGGTAATATTAACTGGGTAGAATTTTTTTTTTAATGAAGAAGAGCTCTAACCAAAAATAATTCAAGAATAACAGATGTAAATGTGCGAGTTTTGCTGAATGGCAGACAGACTGAGTAATTTATTTAATAATTGGGAGAAGCTAGAGATTAATAATAGAACCCAAAGGACTACATTACTGGGGCTCATAGACTCCTAAGACACAGGAAAGAACTTGCAGAAAGGTTGAGATTTCTTTGTAGCAGTGTTCCTGGAAGAATTACATCCAACCCCTGCTTGAATGCTGCCTGTGACAGAGCTCTTACTATTCATCAAAAGCTTCCCTTTATTAGAGATATTTTACTTCCTACCTTCCTCCCACTCTCTGGCTCCAGTACTTCCTCTGGAGTCACAGACTGAGAAGAGGGCCTCGTCCACATAAAGTGTCTTAAAAATTAAAGATAACTTTCTCACCCCCACTTCCAGAGCAATGTCAGGCACCCAGTAAGTGCCCAGTAAATCTTTATTGAAGAAATGAGACATCATTTTTCTGTTAAATTTTTTTTTTCCCTCTAAATCTCAGCTTTATTGGTTTTCTTCTAGGAGACATTGTCAATCTCTCTGGCATGCAGACAACAAACCTGAAAACAGTTCATACTCCTCTTTCACTACAGACACCATTTCCCACATTGTAATTATCCCTAATCACAGTGTCACCCCTTGTAAACCTGTTTCCTGTTTTATATTTATGGAAATGCCACCTACTGTAACCTATGTTAATTTTGTTCCCTTGGTTGCAGCCCTCCTAGCCTAATGCAACAATAGCTTCTGTAATGGTTTTCTTGCCTCTGACATTTCTAAAATCTAGTTTAGACGTGGTATCTGTATAATCAAAGATACAGTTTTGATGATGACTTCCTGTTTCACAACTCTGCTGGGTTTTGCATTGGCTCCTAAAGATTTTGATGACATTTGGGGTCTTTGCAGTGACTGTCAATCATCTCGCTTTATATTCTCCCTACCTTCCCCAAATCCCCAGCAAGTCGGATAGCTTCTGGTTTCCAAAGAGAGCCTGTAATATGCTCTGGTTACTTTTCATTATGTCCTCACATTTTTGCCCCACATGTTGGCTTTCGGTTCAATACCATTTTCTTTATGAAACTTCTAATCCTAAGAAAGGGATGATTCCCTTCCTTCTCTGTCTTAAATGGCATTTTTTGACCTTCTATCATGAAGTATTTTCTACTTTCTGTGATAGTTCTTTACATAAAAGACTCATTTATTGAATATGAGGAATATGCCTTGCTGGCAGTGCACATAGTAAGGATTCTGTTTCATGTGCTAAACAATATGATGTAATTTCACAATCCAATCTCCACGAGGCCCTCTTAGTTTCAGATTTAGGACTTATATTTTTATTTTTCTGCCCCATCCCAAGTCTTGAATATTTTTACTAAAAAGAAGATTTTTTTTAGTTTTTAACATGATAGTGTACATCTTTCTTTTTTTTGGGGGGGGGGGTCCTATCCTGGAGCCTGAACTCTGGGCCTGGGCACTGTCCCTTAGCTCTTCAGCTCAAGGCTAGCGCTCTACCACTTGAGCCACAGCACCACTTCCGGCTTTTTTCTTTTTGCTTATGTGGTGCTGAGGAATCGAACCCAGGGCCTCATGCATGCAAGGCAAGCGCTCTACCACTGAGCCACCTTCCCAGCGATTTTTTTAGTTTTTAAATAGAACTTTCCTGTCTGGATTTTTGTTCATTATCGTTATCCCTTATTAAGTGAGCCTCTCTAAATGGATTGCATTGTATTTTATTAGAATTGATCCTTGATTGGTTCTAGTTTTTTTAAAGAAGATCAGAGGATTTGTAGAAGTGCATGAATCTGTTTTAGCAGATGCCAGTTGCTCAATATGAGAAACTGTATGAGAAGCTGTTTGTCTAAAGTTGTTCCCATGTCAAATTAAAGTTAAATCTTAATTATAGCTTCTCCAAGGATCCTATTTGCAATATTTCTGTGTCTAGTTTTATGTTATACCTTATTCACCTACATCAAAATGGAGTAAACATGACAATGGTGAGTTTTGGCTTCACTAGCTCTTCAAATCCATTTTTCTTTTCTTTTTTCTTTCTTTTCTTTTTTTTTTTTTTTGGTGCCAGTCTTATGGCTTGAACTCAAGGCCTGGGTACTTCCCCTGAGCTTTTTTTTTTTTTTTTGTTCAGGCTAGTGCTTACAACTTGAGTCACTGCTCCACTTCTGGGTTTTTGCTTATTAATTGGAGATAAGAGTTTCACAGGCTTTTTTCCTCCATGCTGACTTCGAACTACCATCCTAAGAGCTCAGCTTCTTGAGATGTAACCTAGGAACTAAGTGACTAATAAACCACAAATTTCTAGCTATTAATCATTGTTAAATATGTGAATGAATATACTGGAAGTGACTCTCTTCATATTTTGATTTTTCAATAAAGAGGGTTTGTTTCAAAGTCCAGACTTTTGTGTGAAAATATAGGTGAGAATATTACTAGTTTTTTTTTTTTTTTACTAATTAACTAGTTTTTTAACAAATCTTTATATAAATGTTCTGAATTTAATTCTCTAACATATTCAATCCTTCACTTTGTGTGCAATAGTTCTCTTATTTTTGGGACCAGGTACCTTGGCTCATACCTGTAATCCCAGCTTAACTCAAACAAAAGTTTATAAGCAACCCCATTGTAACCAATAAATTGGGCATGGTAATAGTGTCATCCTAATTCCTTGGGGGGGAGGGAATGAAAATGATTGGAATTCAGGCTGGCCTAAGAAAAAAACATGAGTCCTTGTTTAAAAAGTAACTGAAGCAAAATGGATTGGGAGTGTTGCTCAAACTATAGAGTGCTTTGTTAGCAAGCACAAAGCCATGAGTTCAAACCCTAGCATTGTGAAAATAATGACAATTATGATTTTAAAAATCTTATCTTGGTAAAAGGGTAGAATGCAATAAGTTGGGAGAGGGGGAGGTAGAAAAAAGTGCAGATGGAGAGAGAGAGAAAAAAAAACCCCAAAACCTTCAGTAATGGTGCTGTTTTCTGTTTTTGTTACACTATTTTCTTATTGGTCAAACTTCTGGTTCAGACTTGAAGATTATTTTCTCACAGTCCTCACTTTATATAAAAATAATTTCTTGAGTCTTAAAATGTCATAAAACATGACAAAGTGTTATTGGGGGCAGTTCTTCTTTTCAGCCAGAATTTCTTAAAGTTTCCAAAGTGGTCAATGAGGAGGGAAAGGATAAACTGCCAGTACTGTGGTGTGAATAATTGTTTGCATTTATGATAAGGAAACTGATGCTCAAAGTATGTGATAAGACCAGGAATCTTCTTTGACATGTTCTTCTAAAACATAATTCCAGGAGTTCTACTTCCAGAATGGCAGTGTGAGAAACTAGTCAAATAAACATAAGTGCTAAAAACTGAAGGAAGAAGCAAGACAAAACAAAACAACAAAATCAAAACAACATCCCCAAACTCCAAAACCTAATGCTACAATTAAAACAATCATTCAAAGTTTCTGCAGTATCCTAAAGCTACATAGCAGATAAAAACGTAGTCAAAATATTTTATCTAAAATATCTAAAAGAATAATAGCTAATATCTAAAAGAATAATCATATCTTAAGCTATAATTAGAAATATAATTATATTATAACAATAGTAGACAGTATACAGTTACATGAGCAAGGTAATGAATACATTTCCTATTGAGCATTGTTACCCCCCTCCTTTGTTTTTCCCCTACCCTCCTTTCCCTTTCACATCCACCACTCCAAGATAGGGACACAAGTGGTTTTTTTCTTTATTGCCATTGTTTCTAACATATTTATAATGTACCATGTGATTTTTCTGTTGCGT